GAGGTTGGCAATCCTAGCTCCTTCCTCTCCCCCACCATTCGAAATCACCGGCCTCCGCAATGCAGGGAAGGGTCTGGATCTCCCCCCACCCACCCCCAGATGTCCCAGCCTCTTCTCCCACCCACCCCCGCCCCGGGATCTCCGTTACCTCACCTGGGACGAACTGATGTCGATTTGCAGGCGGGAGAAAAAGAAATGCTGCCTCCCCACGTGCAGACTCGGGGCAGGAAGGAAGCCGTCTCCCCACCCACCCTTTCCTGGTGGCTAATCTAGGATTTTGGACTCGCTGGCCTTCAGTTCTGTGGGGCCAAGCAGTGGGGAAACAACCATGAAACTAATGAAGCTTAAACTCAGGGCCCCTAATCCCCCTTTCTTTTAATAAGTGAATTTTTCAAGAAAATTGATGGGGTTTTAAAAGTGTTTTGTTATTAAAATAGGGCTACTTTAGTGACAGAATCATAAACTGATGGGTTGAAGTACTTAATATTGACCTTAGAATATGCTCCAATACCCGTTTCATATGGCCTCTGTAACTGGTCAAATTTCAAAATTTTCTCAAGGGCTCCACCCTACCACCCCATTCTCCGCCACTTGGGCCTTGAGGTCCTTACAAGAGCGGCAAGGTCCTTTGGACCTCGTTGGATGTTGCCCTATTATTTCTGGTTGAGAAGGGGGCCCCTTGACAGTTCAGGCTTCAGGGTCCCAAAAATGTAGGTCCACCACTGGGGCCAAGACATTAAGGAGAGGCACCTGTTCGCTGAATTGTGCCTCCTCCCCAGATACAATGTACAACCTTCCCTGACCACCTTTCCCTTTCCACTTAACACCATGGCAGAAGACTCAAAAGCCGCTTTCATCTGGTATCGAGATTCCCATCGCTTCCCCTAAATTGCTTTGCAAGGAAGACGGTTGCAACTCAAAACGCTGCTTCTTATAGCACTGACAGGAAACACCCTGAACAATTCTAACCAGTTAAAACTTCCACATGTCAGCTACTGGGCAGTTTACCCTACAGAAAAAAACAATGTGGTGTATCTGTCCCAGCTAACCCTGCCTGGTTTGTGGTCCTCCACCAACCCTTGATTGGAGCTGCGGTGGCTCAAGTGGTTAAGATGCTGAACTGCAGGCTGTGGAAGGTCAGTAGTTCAGCAGTTCGAGACCCGAGTGTGCCACAGGATGGAGTGAGCTCCCATCTGTAGTTCCAGCTCCTGCCAACCGAGCAGTTCGAAAGCAAGAAATTGCAAGTAGATAAATAGGTACCACTTCGGTGGGAAGGTAACAGCGTTCCGTGCGCCTTGGTGTTTAGTCATGCTGGCCACATGACCACGGAAACGTCTTCGGACAGTGCTGGCTCTTCGGCTTGGAAACGGAGATGAGCACCGCAACCCTAGAGTCGGACTCGACTGGCTTTTGAGCAAGGGAACCTTTACCTTTATACAAACCAAGGAAGACGAAACCAAGACAGACGCAGCAGTATGGAATCCAGGGAGCAGAGGACCTGCCAGCTCCCACATGACCACGGAAACGTCTTCGGACGGCTCTGGCTCTTCGGCTTTGAAACGGAGATGAGCACCGCAACCCTAGAGTCGAACTCGACTGGCTTTCGAGCAAGGGAAACTTTACCTTTACCAACCCTGCACATGTAACCAGGGAGGAAGGGTAGCTATTATCCTCTGGGAGTCCTTCAATTTACCCAGACCCTGGGATAAAATATAGTTGGAATTGACTGAACACTCATTACACTGTGGACTGAGGATAGATTGGCCATTCCTCTTGTTTACCAGCCATGCAGTGTTGGAGACACCCAGACTGACTGTTCTTAGTGACTTCAGCATTGGTGCAGAGTGCTCCCCGCATGGGCTGAGCCAGGATTTTATAACTTCATTGTTTGTTCTGGGCTTGTGAAAGAGGTCATACCCTGAATTTAAACTGAGCTTTTATAGTAAAGAAAGGTTCATTCTTGAATCTCCATATTTTTCTATACTAAAATTCTAGTGAATCCCTGTAACTCTGAGTCTGTTGTCATCCCAGCAGGTCACGCTGAAACAGTTGTTGTTGTTGTTCAGTCGCACAGTCGAGTCCGACTCTTCGCGACCCCATGGACAATCTCCCGCCAGGCTCTCCTGTCTTCCGCCGTCCTCCGAAGTTGGCTCAATTTCATGTTCGTTGCATCGCTGACACTGTCTAACCATCTCATCCTTTGCCGTCCCCGTCTTCTTTGACCTTCAATCTTTCCCAGCATCAGGGTCTTTTCCAGGGAGTGCTCCCTTCTCATTTGGTGGCCAAAGTATTTGAGCTTCAGTTTCATTATCTGGCCTTCCAGGGAACAGTCAGGGTTGATTTCTTTGAGGATTGACTGATTTGTTCTTCTTGCAGTCCAAGGGACTCTCAAGAGTCTCCTCCAGCACCATAGTTCAAAAGAATCTATTCTTCGGCGCTCGGCCTTCCTTATAGTCCAACTCTCACAGCCATACATGACTACTGGGAATACCATTGCTTTGACCATGCGGACTTTTGTTGGCAGGGTGATGTCTCTACTTTTTATCATGCTGTTTAGGTTCGCCATCGCTTTCCTCCCAAGGAGCAGGCGTCTTTTAATTTCATGACTGCTGTCACAGTCTGCGGTGATCTGGGATCCCAGGAACGTGAAGTCTGTCACTACTTCCACGACTTCCCCTTCTATTTGCCAAGGAGTGATGGGGCCGGATGCCATGATCTTAGTTTTTTTGATGTTGAGCTTCAAGCCCACTTTTGCGCTCTCCTCTTTTACTCTGAGCAAGAGGCTCTTTAGATCCTTTTCACTTTCAGCCATTAGAGTGGTATCATCTGCATATCTGAGGTTGTTGATCTTTTCCCCAGCAATCTTAATTCCCGCTTGTGATTCATCCAGGCCAGCATTTCGCATGATGTACTCTGCATATATATTAAATAAGCAAGGCGACAATATACATCCTTGTCGTACTCCTTTTCCTATGCTGAACCAATCAGTTGTTCCATATCCGGTTCTAACTGTCGCTTCTTGGCCCTTATACAGGTTTCTCAAGAGACATGTGAGGTGGTCTGGTACTCCCATCTCTTTAAGGACCTGCCATAGTTTGTTGTGATCCACACAGTCAAAGGCTTTAGCATAGTCAATGAAGCAGAAGTAGATATTTTTCTGGTACTCTCTTGCTTTCTCCATAATCCAGCGAATGTTGGCAATTTGATCTCTAGTTCCTCTACCTCTTCGAAACCCAGCTTGTACTTCTGGTAGTTCTCTATCCACGTACTGTTGAAGCCTAGCTTGTAGGATCTTGAGCATGACCTTGCTAGCGTGTGATATGAGTGCAATTGTGCGATAGTTTGAACATTCCTTGGCATTGCCCTTCTTTGGGATTGGAATGTATACTGACCTTTTCCAATCCTGTGGCCACTGTTGCGTTTTCCAAATTTGCTGGCAAATGGAGTGCAGCACTTTAACAGCATCATCTTCTAAGACTTTGAATAGCTCAGCTGGAATACCATCACCTCCACTAGCTTTGTTGTTAGCAATGCTTTCTAAGGCCCATTTAACTTCACATTCCAGGATGTCTGGCTCGAGGTCAGTGATTATACCGTCGTGGTTGTCAAGGACATCGAGGTCTTTCTTGTATAGTTCTTCTGTGTATTCTTGCCATCTTTTCCTAATCTCTTCTGCTTCTGTTAGGTCCCTACCGTTTTTGTCCTTTATCATGGCCAGCTTTGCATGGAACGCTCCCTTGATTTCTCCAACTTTCTTGAAGAGATCTCTAGTCCTTCCCATTCTATTGTTTTCTTCTATTACTTTGCACTGTTCATTCAGGAAGGCCTCCTTATCTCTCCTTGCTGTTCTCTGGAAATCTGCGTTCAGTTGGGTAAATCTTTCCTTTTCGCCTTTGCCTTTCGCTTTCCTTCTTTCCTCTGCTATTTGTAAAGCCTCATCAGAAAGCCATTTTGCTTTCTTGCATTTCTTTTTCTTTGGTATGGTGGTGATTGCTGCCTCCTGTACAATGTCACGAACCTCCGTCCATAGTTCTTCAGGCACTCTATCTATCAAATCCAGACCCTTGAATCTATTCTTCACCTCTACTGTATATTCATCAGGGATGTGATCTAGGTCAAACCTGAATGGCCTCATGGTTTTCCCGATTTTCTTCAGTTTAAGTCTGAATTTTGCAATGAGTAGCTCATGATCTGAACCACAGTCAGCTCCAGGTCTTGTTTTTACTGACTGGATAGAGCTTCTCCATCTTTGACTGCAAATTATATAGTCAATCTGATTTCGGTGTTGCCCATCTGGTGATGTCCATGTGTAGAGTCGCCTCTTAGGTTGTTGGAAAAGGGTGTTCGCTATGACCAGTGTGTTCTCTTTACTGAAGAGCAACATTTGGTTCTCTTCAGAATAAAGTGAATAGGAAAATCCTATGAATAGTACTCAGATTAGAATCGATACACAGAGTGAAAGTCAAAGCCACAGTAACCAGGCAGCCAGACTACTGCAATGTACTCTGCTTAGGTCTGCCCTTGAAGTCAGACTCTCCAGCTGGTAACAGAATGCTCCAACTCAATTACTATTCAGGGTCAGAGCACATGTGATAAATGCTGAATTGCTCATATGGGGACTGTTTGGATTATCAATTCATTTCATGGTCCTGGCTATTATCTACAAAGCCTTTCAGGGCCTAGGTTTTACAGATCTACAAGACTGACTCTTCTAATATGATCTGCTGCAACTGCTTTGCTCATCTTTGAAAAGACAATGGATGACATTGACAGTGATGCATAGAGATTCTTGTTTGTGGGTGCCACTTGGTGGATTGGCCTGAATGATGTGGACAGGAAGGCTCCCACAATTTTAGGATTTCATAGAAGGGGTGAAATAGAATGGTTTAAAAGGGCATCTTTAAAATGGGATTAAGATAATGAATTGAAGCACAGAAAACTATTAAGCAGTTTTACTGAATTAGGTACTATATGTATTGTACTATTTTATTGCACTGCTTTGTAGTTTCATAATCCATTTTACTGTAATTTAATGCCTTTTCAGACTCCAGGCATTATTATGGTTTCTCCTTTCTGTGAATTTTTAGCAGTCTGTAAGGTCTGCACTCTAACGAAAGTTTTTCCCACACTCCAAGCATTTATATCGTTTCCCCCATGTGAATTCTTTGATGGTAGTAAGGCTGTCACTCTGACGGAAGCTTTTCCCACACTCCAGGCATTGATACAGTTTCTTTCCTGTGTGAGTTCTTTGATGGGAACCAAGGCTTCTACTCTGACTGAAGCTTTTCCCACACTCCAGGCATTGATACAGTTTCTTTCCTGTGTGAGTTCTTTGATGGGAAGCAAGGCTTCTACTCTGACTGAAGCTTTTTCCACACTTCAAGTGTTTGTATGGTTTGTCCCCTGTGAAATCTTTCATGGGAACTTAGTTCAGAATTTCATCCAAAACTCTTTCCACACTCCAGGTAGTTCTGGAGTTCTGGACCCACTAGTGGACCTCCTGATGTCACTTGGGTTTTGGCCACTGTGTGACATAGAGTGTTGGACTGGATGGGCCATTAGCCTGATCCAAGATGGCTTCTCTTATACTCTCACGTTCTTATATGGTTTTTCTTGCATGAATTTTTCGATGGATTGTAAGGTGTGCATTCTGACTGAAGTTTTTCCCACACTCCAAGCATTTATATGGTTTCTCCCCTGTGTGAATTCTTTGATGAGTAGTAAGGCTGCAACGCAAACGGAAGCTTTTTCCACACTCCAGGCATTTATATGGTTTCTCTCCTGTGTGAATTCTTTGATGGTAAACTAGGCTTGAACTGTGACTGTAGCTTTCTCCACATTCCAGGCATTTGTACGGTTTATTCCCTGTGTGAATTCGTTGATGGGAAGCCAGTTGGACCTTTCGTCCAAAGCTCTTCCCACACTCCAGGCATTTATATGGTTTCTCCCCTTCGTGAATTCTTTGATGGGTAGTAAGGTGATCGCTCCGGCTGAAGCATTTTCCACACTCCGGGCATTTATATGGTTTCTCCCCAGTATGAATTCTTTGATGAGTATTAAGGCTGTTACTCCGACTGAAGCTTTTTCCACACTCCAGGCATTTATATGGTTTCTCCCTTGTGTGGATTCTTTGACAGTAAGGTAGGCTTGCACTGGGGAACAGGGGAAACAACTCTTCTCCTTCCAGCCAGGATATGAGGTCAGGTTTGGCAGTCAGAGGTCCTTTCATCAGGAAAAAAAATGGTAGAAGATTAGAATTCTTCTCTGTGCACATTGATTCATACATTCCCAGCCAATTTGACTCTGTCCCTCCAGACCAATAATATAGGTGGGGTGCTATGTGGACTAAAGAAGGGGTAGTGTGGCCAACAACCTGGAGAGAAAAATCCCCTGCCATTTGAACTGAGGCTTTATCTTTTTAAAGGGCAGATGAAGCTTTTCAATGGCGTGGCCATCAATCACATCACCTGGTCAATTACATCCAATTAAGCTTCTACTAAGGGGGCAAGACATTTCTTTTCCAGGTTGTTGGCAACCCTGAATATGGGTCAAGCTGCAGTTCTGTGCCTACTCCTTGAGATGGGAATTTATTTAATTTCTTTCTTTACTATAATTCTATTTCACCTTTCTCCCTGAGACTCAAAGGAGATTTTTTTTTTAAAAAAAATTAATTTATAAATTAGGCTTCTAAACGATCCTGCCCTGCAGAACAGGGCTCAGGGCAAAAGCACATTCATAAATTAATCAACAGTTAAGAACAATAAAATAAAATGCAGCAATTAACATTACTAGATGGTGCTAAAACTCCAAATTGCGCCACTGCTCCATGAGGGGAGGAGACCAGAAACAGAGTGGCAGGCAAGATGGAAAAGGAGGAGGAGGAGATTGGATTTATACCCTGCCCTTCACTACCCAAAGGAGTCTCAGAGCGGCTTACAAACTCCTTTCCCTTTCCCTTCCCCTCCCCACAAGAGGCACTCTGTGAGGTAGGTGGGGCTGAGAGAGCGCTGACAGAAACTGCTCTTTTTCAAGAACAGCTGTGCCAGAACTATGGCTTGCCCAAGGTCATCCAGCAGGTGCAAGAGGAGGAGTGGGGAATCAAACCCAGTTCTCCCAGATTAGAGTCTGCGCACTTAACCACTACATTTCTGCCTTACGGGCTCTGCAAAACTGAATTAAGTCCTGCAGGGCATGGATATCATTCGGCAGAAAGTTCCACCAGGTTGGAGCCAAGGCAGAAAAAGACCCTGGCTCTGGTTGCAGACAGCCGCATGTCTTTTGGGCCAGGGATCACCAGCAGGTTCTTCTCTGCAGAGCATGGTGCTCTTCAGGGGGGTTATACCAGGAGAGGCAGTCCTGAAGATATGTGGCTCCCAGACCGTTTAGGGCAGGGGTCCTCAAACTTTTTAAACAGGGGACCAGTTCACTGTCCCTCAGACCGTTGGAGGGCCGGACTATAGTTTTTAAAAAATCAAGCCGTGGCGGGGCTTCACTCGCAATACAGACACACTTCCCTCCAGCGAGGGTCTCTCTTTCTGCCGCTCCACTCCAGCAGCCTGCTAATTTAGCCCCGAGTGCCTTATTGCAGGGCTCGAGGCGAAGCGATGTTTGTCTTAGCTCAGGAAGGAGGGCTCCAGAGCAAACTAATAGATGCCGGAGCCAAATTACTGGCTCACAACTTGAATGCCAGTAGAATTTTTGCTCACAAGACTCCACTGCTTAGGGAACATTGCCGGGGGGGGGGTGCTTTCTCTCACTTTGCAGGCCCCAAGCGGTGGGGGCAGTGGGTGGGTGGCTCACACCGTCCGAGAGCCAAAGGCGGCGATGCGATGCTGCACTCATGCGCAGCTGCACACAGACACTGATGCGCTGCTGCACACAGACACACAGGCTTCGAGCGTGGCCAGCGGCAAATCCAAGTCCTCCGCCTCCCCGTGGCCCTGCTGCCCTCCTCTCGGGACCGAGCCCCTCTGGCCATTGCCCTCTGCCGCCGGGTCCCTTGCAGTCGCACCCCCGCCAGGTCTCCCCCCCACACTTTGGAAGAGTGGTTCCCAGCGCCTGTCTGCCCCACGCACGGCGCTTCCCTTCCTGGGGACAGACAGAAGGACCCAGCAGAGGGAGAGGCCTGGCCCCTTCCCTTGTGCCGCCGCCGCTGGCACTTCTGGCGGGCAACCCCTTTGGGACCCGGCGGGCTGGCAGTGCTCGCACTCCAGCAGGGTCCCAGGCGGAGCGGCGGGCAGCAGCAGCAGTCCTCGAAAGCCCGGCACGGCGGTCTGGCCGCTGGCTCCCCCCGTCGCGCACCTTGCACGCCCGGCAGCCGAAGCAGGCGAGCCCTAGAGCTTGTGGCGCTGCAGCGTCTCCTCCATGGAGCCGACTGGGCCGCTCTGGGCCTGGGCCCGCTCCCCCCGCCGCAGCCTGGGAACTTTGGGGGTGAGTCCCGCTTGGCGGCCTCGGGCCATAGTTTGAGGACCCCTGGTATACAGCATGGCAAACCTTAGCCAAAGGGCTTGACCGTGCCCCTTCCTGAACAATGAACAGAGAAGGATTCGTAGACAAACCTCACAGCATCAAAGGATAAAATATGTCTTACCCAGAGAGGCCACATTCCCAAAATTCTCTAGCATGACTTCCTTGTATAGAACTTTTTGAGCTGAGCTCAACAGGATCCACTCTCCCTTGGTGAAATACACGGCCACCTCTTCAAAGGACACCAGACCCTGGAGGAGGAACAGGAGGAGGAGGAAAAGGAAGTTCCCCCCCATCTCTGAAAAACTGCTGCACAAAAAAAAAAAAAAAAAAAAAATTCTGAACAGCAGCAACCAGGAGGGGATCAGAGCCCTGAGGCCGTCCCTTCCCAGCAATCCTTGGGCTCATCCTGGGGACAGAAGGGTGGCTGGCGCTCACAGAGGATACCAACCTGTCATCTGCTCTGGCTTCCTTCAGCTTACCACAACATGGATGTGAACAGTGTAATCGACTTCTGGGAGGGGAAGGCCCAGAAGACAGAATCTTCACATTGGCTTCAATCTACACCCCAAATAATGCAAAGGAAACATTCTATGAATTTTTTTCCCCAAAACATTTTTGGACTTTCAAGAGGGAGAAATTTTTAATTTTCAGTGAGCCGAACAGAGTACTAGATCCAAAAAAAAGTACAGATCTAAAAAGTCTGCAGGCGGCAAACGACCCAAGACAAGATTTCCAGTGCCCTCCCCAGCTGAAATGTCAATCAGTCGGCAAGCTTGCTGGATTCCATTCTGGTGAGATCAGGAGTTAGTCTCATGTCCAAGCAGAGAGAGGAGTGGATGAGTTGAGGCAGTGACCAAAGAGTTGGCAGAGTTGGAGGCTTCTTTCCTGTCATGTGCTGAGAGGAGGAAGCACATCGGCAGTGGGGGGATGCGGGAGGGATGACCTTTGTGAGTGAGACCGTACTGAAGACTCTAGCATTCCAGCTCTGTGATTCTATGATTCATGCATGGAGCCCAGATTGGAATCCAGGCACAGCAGGGCCTTTCTAGCGGTTGCCCCCATGGACCCTACCTTCCCAAACAAGTGCAGTGTTGTTTTATTGTCCTTGTGTTCAGACTGCTCTGCACGTGTATCTGTGACCAGAACCGAGGGCAAGGGGCCGGGTGCTCTGAGCCGTGAGACTGAGAAGAAGCCATCCCTGCCCTCCACTGTGTCTCTCCCTAGTGACTCCATCCCCTTACCTGGGCAAGCGTCATGACGGCTCTTTCCACCACACAGAGGAGACAGGGGGAGGGAGGCATCAAGGGTGTCTTTCTACTGCTGCCTGGGAGGGAAAGAAACAAAGATGGAGGGAAAACCCTTTTCGCTACACGCACCTTTTCTGTGCCAGTCCCTTGAAGTGACCCTGTCGCCAGATTTGTGTTGGGTCAAAATGCAGGATCCTGGAATTGACTGAGTAGAGCTCAGGACCAATGTTCCCTCTAAGCTGTGGAGTCATAAGAACATAAGAGATGCCAATGTTGGATCAGGCCAAAGGCCCATCCAATCCAACGCTCTGTATCACACAGTGGCCAGAAATACCAGTGCCATCAGGAGGTCGCCCAGTGGGGCCAGGACACCAGAAGCCATCCCACTGTTGACCCCCCCCCCCCAAGCACCAAGTCTTGTGAGCAAAAATTCTATTTTGTGAGCGATTGGCATTAAAGCTGTGAGCGAGCTTTATTAAATTAGTTTGCTTTGGAGCCCTCCTTCCTGAGCTAAGACAAAGATGTGTGAGCTGGAGGCTAAAAAACTGTGAGCTAGCTCACACTAAATCAGCTTAGAGGGAACACTGCTCAGGACTGTTTTGCTAGACCATCTCTCCCCCCCCCATGAGGGGAAGTCCCATCTTCCTTATCCATCCAGCCCCCTCCCCTTCTGGCCCTGCATACTCCAAACCTTGCCAAATTCATCAGTGAGGGACGCGAAGGCCCTCTGGCTTGCTCCACACATTGAGGAAAGGTCCGGAGGTGGGAAAGCCCCGAGGAGCTAAAACCCGACTGCCTAGCTCAAGGGGGCAGGTGGGAGATTCCAGCCCTGGACTTGGCCACTATGAATGTTTCTCTGCATCATGGGGAAAATTCCCTGCACAGATCTAAGTTATTCCATAATGGGGGGGGGGAGCACACTCTTGAGGTGCCTAAAGTATCAGGTATCTTGCCTCAGGAGGACTGCTGCCTGTCTATGAAATCAGACATTAATCTTTTAGGGCCTAGAAGAAAATCTTGGGGCAGGAGGGCAGAGAGAAGAAGAGGAGATTGGATTTATACCCCGCCCTTCACTCGGAGTCTCAGAGCGGCTTACAAACTCCTTCCCCTTCCCCTTCCCCTCCCCACAACAGACACCCTGTGAGGTGGGTGGGGCTGAGAGAGCTCTGACACAAACTGCTCTTTTTCAAGGGCAGCTGTGCCAGAGCTTGTGACTGACCCAAGGCCACATCAGCAGGTGCAAGTGGAGGAGTGTGGAATCAAACCCGGTTCTCCCAGATTAGGGTCCGCAAACTTAACCACTACACCAAACTGGCTCTCAGAGAGATAACACACCGAGGCAGAACAGGGATGCAGGTCCCTTCAGCTCCAAGGGACTGGCCAGATTCAACTCAGAAGAGACTGCGAGACCC